TCACCAGCCAGTTCACCTAGCACCCTTTATTAATTAGGAAGTCTTTCCCTCTCTGAATATTTTTGATAGGTTTATCAAAGATTCAATGAAGATAACTAGTTGGGTTCTTCTCTTGGTTCTGTATTCTGTTCCATAAATCTACCTCTCTTTTTGCGCCAGCACCATGGGTTTTTGATCATTATAGATTTATAGTATATCTTGAAGTCTGGTAACGTGATACCTCCTGATTTGTTTTTATTTCTGATTCTTAGCATTCAAGGTTTTTTCTGGTTGTATATAAAACAAAGCACCATTTTTTCAAGTTCTTTAACATATGACAAAGGTGCTTTAATAGAGATTGCATTAATATGTAGATTGTTTTGTGTACTATGCACATTTTAACAATGTTGATTCTTCCCAACCATGAGCATGGTATGTTTTTCCATTTATTAACATCTTAAGCTATTTTTTTCCTCAGAATTTCATAATTCTCTTTATTGAGGTCTTTCATATGATTTGTTAGGTACATTCCCAGATATTTCATCTCCTTTGGCACCACTGTAAAAGGAACAGAGTCCTTGACTGTGTGTTCAGCTTGACTGTTGTTGGCTTATATAAAAGCTATTGAATGTAAATAAGTATTGATTTTGTATCCTGAGATGCTACTGTATTCCTTGATCACTTCTAAGGGTTTTGTAGTTGAGTCCCTGGGATTTTCCAGGTATGGGATCTTATCATCACCAAAGAGTGAGAGTTTGATCTCTTCTTACCCTATTTGAATATCCTCGATCACCTTCTCTTGCCTGATTGCCATGGCTTAACTTCCATTACTATGTTCAATAGTGGTGTAGGCAATGGGCATCCTTGCCTAATTCCTGATCTGAGTGGAAATGTTTTCAGTTTTATTCCATCGAATATGATATTGGTCATGGGTTTGCTGTAGATGTCATGTATTAGTTTAAGAAATGTCCCTTCTATGCCTATTTTCATAAGTATTCTGATCATGAAAGTATACTGGGAATTATCTGGGTATTATGAAAAGCTTTTTCCGCATCAATTGAGGCAATCATATGGTCTTTGTTTTTGTTTTTGTTTTTTGATGTGATGTATTATATTTGTAGATTTGCATATGTTGAACCAACCCTGTAACCTTGGAATAAAACTAGCTTCATAATGGGTGTATGATTCTTTTCCCTATCTTTTTTATTTTTTAATCTTTTCTTTTTTAAAATTATTTTTTATTAAATCAACTTTGCACATTGATGCATTTATGGAGTCAGGGTACTGCTTTGATATAGAATGTGAAATGTTTACATTGAACTAAGTAACACATCCATCACAATTATACTCATTTCTTAGTAATTTTGAAATGTACCATTGCATCATGCACATTAGGTGAAGTCCCCCCAAATACCCTTCCACTTCCCATATTCCCCCTCCCCTCCCCTCTCTCTCTTCTTCCCTTCTACTTTCTGAACTATACGTTTTGCCATTCGTATGAGTGTGTAGGTGGTTATATATTGTGTATGATGTTTTTGGTGTGTTCTTAAATTCTGTTTGCTAAGATCTTATTGAATATTTTCGTGTCAATATTTATTAATGATATTGGTCTATAACTTTCTTTCTTTGTTGGTTCCTTTCCTGGTTTGGGGATCAGGGTGATATTTGCTTCATAGAATGTGTTGGGAAGTATTCCTTCTTTTTCTATGCTTTGGAAAAGGTTGTATAATATAGGTATTACTTTGTCTTGAAAGATTTGATAGAATTCAGTTGTGAAGCCATCTGGTCCCAACCTTGGGGATATTTCATATTCTTTTTTTTTTTTTTTTTTGCTCTTTTTATATAGGATATATTTATTTGCTTGTAGTAGTACATCCTCATATTACAAAGGCAATTAATGTAATGGAAGAATCTTCCTTTTGATATGAATCATCTGAAGAGATTTCATATTTTTGATGCTATTTCAGTGACTGATTTGGATCTATTCAATATTTTGAATTCTTTTTGGTTGAGTCTAGGAAGGTGGTGTGCTTTAGGTATTGGTCCATTTCCTTCAGATTTTCCTATTTCTGGGAATAGAGTTTTTTTTAGTAATCATTCAGGATTTTTTTGAATTTCTGAGGTGTCTGTTATTATTTCTCCTTTATCATTTCTGAGAGACAAGATTAGATTTTCCTTTTCTTTTTCTCATTAGGTTAGCCAAAGGTTTATGGGGTTTTTGTTGTTGTTGTGTTTTGTTTTGTTTT